TAGAATAACAAGGTACCGAAGTAAGCTTACTACAGAGTTAAGTGTGTTTCAGTTTGAAGATATTACAACTGCTTATTAGACTACCTTACACTGAGTTAGGTACAGTAAGTAGTATACGTTATACATTCCTGTCATTACGACCCAATTATTGAGACTTCTATGGTATCTTCTAAAACAGAAACTGCTTTCAGCGAGTTATCTATTATCAGTGTGTTTTGTTGAGTTTTAAATGTTGATAAAATCGGTAAGTGGGTCACTGGCTCTTCCCACGCTATTAGCTTTGTTTCCCTGTATGTGCTACTGGTCTAAAGTTGCCCACACTTTCACTAACAGCGATGATTCTTTAACAGAAACAGAACAAATTTGCCACTGTTAAAAGCATATTTGTTTGTAATATCGTACACGTTTCGTTTACGTAGTCTAACAAACAACGAAACTTAAATAAAGCAAAAATTATTTTGCTTGTGATCAGAGATAACTTGTTTATATATTCAAAGTTTTTACCTTTTTTTTTTTAAGTTACTGGTCTAATTGTATTGGTCAAGAACATTTATTACGACAGAGGCCATGCACGTGTTTGTATTATTATTATTATACATGTAAAAATACATCGGTTAAATATAGTGCGCATGCCTAACTTTTTATAATGAAATAATTCTTATTCAAGAAAATATTTTAACTTGTACGTAATTTGAACGTGTGCAGAGTTTGAAATTATACACAATTGTGTGAAGATTAGTATAACTGAAGTAATCCTATGCACTCATCTCATAGGCACGGCATTGCTACTAAGAGGCAAGTTTCCAGTAGGAGCTTATAGCCTCTGATTCAGCCTATGTCAAAAGCGAGCAAACAAGTGAAGCCAACCAAGTCTCGGCTTACGCCAGTTACTTATTTTTGGCCCGTGGCTGGCAGCCTTCAACTCACATGGGCGCCTGCAGGCGGGATCTTCAAGATGTTTCGTTTCAACTGAAAATAGCGACATATCGGTAGGTTACTCGTGTTCTGTCCTCCTCCACACTGTTTTCTAAAAGCTTTGTCAGATGAATTGGGGGGGGGGGTACAAAATAGAGAAAGTCTGGAGCTCCAGTTCATGTCTCACAAGCTGAATCATTGGAAGTGTATAACATTAAAAGAGACTCGTGTCAACAACTTAAGTATGACGTGTCGATTACGAGAAAGTTAGAAAACGTGGCATTTCATGCCAAAAAGATTGGTAAAAATGTTTCAGAAGTTTTTTAAATGTCATTTTTAAGAGCTTAGAAATTAGTTTTTGTATAAACACTTCAAATCGTTAAGTCAATATGTCATATAACAATCTCCATAAAAGGCAAAGTTCATCTGATGAACTCAAAAGACAGGGGGAAAAAATGTAACTGACGTGCATGTGTATCCTGAGCAACGTGGACAAAAATAAAAATGCAAAGTTCATCGGCTAGTCTGGAGAAAACTCAAAAGGTTTTTGTTTCTTAATTTCTATATAGTACGATTTTAGTAAAAATACGAGATTTAGAGAATAATTTATCGGATTAAGTAGTTGAATCTGCTTATCCCATGGTGCGAATCAACGAACACTGTAACACTAATGCTCCGAGATTCATGAACTTTCAACGACGCTCATAGAGGAAAAGCATCTCTACCTCTCACGGTGAAGCCATTATAAAATATTCTCATTAAACCTGAAGAAAAGAGGTTGCTTGAAAATTGTTAAATAAAATGTTTTCCTTTTCTGAACATGTTGACCCCCCCCCCCTGAAAAAACAAACAACGTATAATTAGGTTTCATCGTCCTGGGGATTATATGTATTATCAGTATAGAAATAGTGTTCAAGAGACACGTTAGTTCCCCTCCCCCAGTTTTGTTTTTTCAGAATAATTTGCATTTTAAGTTTAAATCCTGACACTTTATTTAGCCTGTAATGGTAAGGGTAGCAGCCAGTGCAAAGTAGTCTTATTGGCGAACACTGTCGGCGTTTGTTTACTTATTTATTCCTGTGTCAGAAGTTATATTCACGGAAACTAATGTAATCACACACACACACTTCTTTATTTTATGGTTTTCTAGTTTGTTTACGTTTCAGTTATGCCAAACATTACGGTTTCGTAGGGGAAGAAAGAATGTCAGGTATGGCCAGTGATGAACTATATCAAGTTTATAAGCAACACACTACTCTACTTCTATTCGCATCACTGAATATTTGATGGTTACTCGTGAGAACAAAATCCCACACAAGAGTTACAAGTATCCGCTGCTTTTCACCCTTTGTGATCGTGTCCAATGACCGTGCACCGAGACTTTTGACCAAGGACGTCTTGCC